CACCCGGCCAGTCCCAGCTCGGTGGGAAGTGGGGTTGCGCCGTGTTGTCCCATTGCCTCTACCTCCTCGGAATCCACCACGTGAACTGCGGCCACGAAGGAACCTCCCAGACACCCCAAAGGTCTCAGTGTTCAGCTTTCTCTCTTCAGCCCATGTCGTCCGCCTAGAACTAAACCAAAAGATGAGGTATGTTAAGATCTGACTATAAGCTGGGCGGTGGGGTTGCACACCTTTTATCCCAACACTTGGGAAGCAGAGGCAGGTCTACAGAGCAAGCTCCAGGACAGCAAGGGCTACCCAGGGAAACCGTCTTTTGAAAAACAACAACAAAATCTGACTGTAGTGGGCAACAACTACAGTTTCTGAAATAGGCTTTGTCCCTTGAACAGCAGAAACGGAAGGATGAGCAGGGGAACACTCAACCTAATGCTGCAGAGATCAGGCCTATTTTGGCTCAAGATCCCTCTATCACCAAGAGTAAACAAGTGACACAAGTGGGTGACAAAGAAGCCCTTAAGAGCTCACACAAAAGCATTTAGATCCCAGCCCTTCCTGCTGCCACGTTTGGTCCCCATCCTCCAGCTGAACCATCTAGCTTCCATACCAGCCCATCTTCAGTCACTGTCACCAAGAGGCAGTACAGGTCAACCAGCCGCTCCTGACTGTCTGATTATTTGCTTAGAATATAGTCTACACTATCCCTCGCCCATTCAGATGCATAGCCATGTGCAGGTTGCTGAGACCTGGCCACACCCTCCTACAAGATACAGCCGGGCTTAAGTTCTTCTTTTAGCTTGTGTCACTCTTGCTTCGATTGCTCCCCTAGTATGTGTGCATGGCCCAGGCTACCCAGCTCACTTCCTGTTCTTCAATGGCCTGAGTTGCACACTATGCCTGCTCTGAAGCTTACCATACAGTCTAGGGGTGCTCATCTACAGTGCTGACACACATCACAATCTCTGACTTCCAGGACTTGAGAGGACAGGCAGGCACATCAGGCAGGAAAGAGCAGCACTAATGGGGATGCAAGAACTCAACCTCAGCAAGTCCTCATCAGGTTAGGGGACAGACAGAGGGTTCTGGCACTACATCCTAGATGGCATGGACAGACCCAGTTGGTACTCTTGTAGTTGTCATGTAGAAATATGTAGAAAACAAGCTCAAAGCTTGGACTTAATGTTAGTATACTTTAAGTCACATGCTTCTTAGACTTACAAAACAGCTACCCTTTCCGCAGTGTGCTTAGGCCCTTACCTTGTTTTGAGTTCAGAAGAAATGTTGTCAAAGAAGGACTTGGACTTGTCATAGTAACAGTTGGGCCCCAGAAGATCTTCCTCAGCAGGAGTCTCTTCACTCTGGGTCATCACTGCTGGGTCCTTCTCTTCCCCTTTCTCAGCCTTGTCATCTACAAAGACAAACACTACCCAGTCAGTCTCCTGTTAGGGGTCCACTCTGCAGCTGTCCTCAGGCCCAGAGAGATCCTTTCCTCTCATGGCAAGTCACAAGCTTCACACACCCATCCCAGCCCTCCTCATCTATTCCTCAGAGTGCACTCCAATTCCCACACTGGTCAGGACCTCAACTCACTCCAGAGTGATGCCAGTCATTCTGTCCCAACATGCTCTAGGGATTCTCTTGGGGGATAACTTTCAAATGAATCAGACCTTTAAAATTCAATTTCTTCTTAAATTCTTTATCAAGCTCTTCTCGGTTGAACTGGGCATTTGCACTCTCAAAATCAAAGTCACCTTCAAACTTGATTGTGTTTTCCTTAACATTAGTTGGACGGTTTTGCCCTCTGGAACGATTTCTTGTTCGCCGATTGCCTATGTAGACAATAAACAGCATGGGCTGAATTCACCAACTTATTTCCAGCTTGAATTCAAAAGCAACTCACAGACACACTGATGACAAATGGCACGGTTCACTGAAGCACCACCTTAGCCCCAAGTTCCCAGCACAGGAAGCAAAGCACAGCCTGCTGCTCATGGCTACAGAACTCCAGTGGCCCTGGGTGTTACCTGACCGCCTCCGTGGAGGTCTTCTGTTCTCGTCATTCACCTGCCCTTGGGTGTGCACAGGTGTCGGCTGGACTACATCTAAGGTGCAAAGGGAAAAGTGAGGCCAAGCTCCGCAGAAGCCAGAACCCAGCCACCAAAAGCAGAGCGCCACTACCACATGCTACCTGCCCACAGGCCTGCTTGCAAAAGTGTGTGGTCTGGGATGAGGGCAATGCTTTAAAATCCATGTCCCAGTGAGTATGACATTGGAGACACAGAGAAACTGCAGGGGAAATCAGTGTTCAAGTACCGCTGGCAGTCTTGCTGCTTGGCTGAGCCTGGCGACCATTGAGCTGTGTCCCCGAGGTAACCTTGCTGGGTAACAGTTTCTTAGCATTCAAGTTATCAGCAGAACTAGTCTGGACAGCTTGCTCCACCATGGGGCTCTTGCTGACTGGGGTAGATGGAAAACCAGCTCCTGAGTTAAAGAGGGAAGAAAAGTTTAGAAATCACTAAAAGGAGAAACCGTACTACCTCCAGCCATTTCTCCTGGCTGGCACCTTGGGGGTAGGGCAGGAGTGACACACTGTCTAGAAAAAGTCTGAACTCAGGATTTACTCTGCCAGACTGGCCCATTCCCTTTGAAGCTGGTCCAGGTGACAAAAGAAATGAAGTCCCAGGGAGGCACCAAAGCCAGTTTTCTGGGAGCACCAATCCTTGAGCTCCAAGTTAAGACACTACATTGAGAGGAAAGTCACTGTGCTACCAACACCAACAGGTACTTCCTCAAGTTTACCGATGAGTTTTCTAGAGAAGTTCTGACCAAGCCTGAAGGTGTCAATGGCCCTGAAATGAATTCAGAATTCAAGAAATGCCACTCTGGTCTATGCTGGAGAACCACCACCCCAGCCTGGGATCTTCTACAAAGTACAGTAGTCAGACTCTGAAATTAAATTCTACAACAGCTTTATGAGAAACAGATGTGACCAGGCTGGACTGCAATGAAAGTTAACAACCCACAGCTTCTCAAAGAGTTAAAAGCTCTTCATAAGCAAGGATGGGCTACCAGGCACCCAGTGTGAGGGACTATACCTACAGCATCACACGAAACACCAAAAACAGAGTTACCAGTGGCAGTCCCAACATGAATCCTCTGAAACTGGCAAAATGTAAAAGGCTACCATACAGTCTGCTGCCCCCTTGACCTGTCCCAGGTCCTATAACTCATGGGGAACAGTAGGCCCTTAAGGGACTGTGTGGAACTGGAGAGAGAGGTAAAACAGTGAGCCCTGGCCATAGTCAAACAAAATGAAAACACAGCTGTGGAGAAACTCTCATCGCAGATGAGACCCACTCCCAGGGCGTATCCATAAGGTCCTCTCTGACAGAACTAGGCTGGACCACTTTCTCAGGCCCATCTCACTCAGCAAGAATGACCTCAAGAGACAGATCAGTCACACCAAAGTGGCTTGTATGTGCGGTTTAAAAAAATATTTATCTGTATGCATGTAGGTGTTTGGTCTGCATGTCTGTCTGTACACCACATGCATGCCTAGTATCCTCAGAGGCCAGAAGAGGGGGTCAGATCCCCTAGGACTGGAGATGGGTGTGAACCACCATGTGGGTGCTGGGCATCTAACCCAGGTTACCTGGAAGAGCAGCCAGTGCTCTTCACCATGGAGCCATCTCTCCAGCCCCTTGTGTGCTTCTTAAAAAGCAATTTACCCTATGGGTAGATTCATGTGAGCAATCCTAAGGACAACCAAAGTATCCTCAGTCATGGCTCTTAATTAGAAAGGGTAATGTATGCCACAATTCAGATATAACGAGGCCCTATAGGACAGAACCACCCACACCAACAGACTGACGCTCTAGGCCGGACCCCGGGAGGCCTCCTGCACTGAGATGGGTAATGATGAAGGCTTGAGCTGGCTACAGGCATGATGCCACATGAAAAACAGACATGCAGAAACAGCAGTACAAGAGCATCAGGAAGGTCAAGAAACCCTGAAGGTGCTGCTGTATCAGCAGAGATAGGTGAGCAGATAGCAACTAGCTGGCTGGCTCTCACAATGGCATTGTTCATGCAGCCAAACACCTAGGGGCTGCCACGCACGCTCCCACTTCAAATGCCCTTAAGAGAACTACACATTTCATCCGAGTTGTTTGGGGAGGTTCCACAGCAGAAACCCAGAACATGTTTAGGACTCTGAAAACCCCAGAGAAACAGCTTTATATCTTCCCATGCAATGGCCATGGACAGGTAAACCATAAACCCAAGCAGAACGAATGAAGCGCTCGGCTGACTTCTTAACCCTTTAAAACTGGCATTAACACATGAGGCCACATGCTGAACCCAACAGAAGCAGTGTCCTGATCCCTGGGCCTAGCAGAAGATCTGTTCCAGCTCCTGCCATCCTGGCTCTTTACCCCCTGCTCTCATCGTCTACATGACAGCATGCAGTTAGTTCTCCAGACTGCTGTTACCCTTGGAAGTGAGCTGAGGTGGCTCTGAGGACATGTCAAGTTCTGAAACAGGCTGTGGAGATGGAGAGGAACTAGGGCTGGAAGCAGCGGCTGAGGCTGGAGGGCTTACCAACTTCTCTAAACAAGAGAGAGAGAGAAGAGCAAAGAGAAAGCACACAAATAAGTCAGGACATACTCGTCTTATGCCTAGCAAGCTTGGAAAGAGCCAAGCCACCTCTCAAATGATGTACTTTAGAGCCAGGCTGCATAGTCACCTGCCACATCACAACAGCAATCACAAGTGGCCCACAGCATTGGTCTGGAGCTTAATTAACATTCCCTGCTTCAGCTGCCTTATGCTGGAGTCTGAGCAAGGATGTACGGACAAGATTCAAACTATGTTCTTCGGAGTGGGGGTTAGCACGCATGTGTACATATGCACATTCATGTAGAGGCCACAGGTCAACCTTGGGTGTTGCTTCCTTGGGTGTCATGGACACTTTGTTTTTTAAGACAGGGTCTCTCAGTTGCCCTGGAACTCACTGATGAGGCTTAACTTTCAAGCTAGCCAACCTCAGGGGTCTGCCTATCTCTGCCTCCCCAGCCCTGAGACAAGTGCCCAATTCTCTATGTTCTGAGTGCAGCTTCAAGGTCCAAGTCAAACACAGGGCTGGTATCACTCCCAACATGGAGACACTCTTACTCTAGGACTGGTGCACGCCCCAGCAGAAACCACGCTTGAGCTGGGCTCGTGCACTAGGTTAATATAAGCTGCAATGAGATAAAGGGTATATTAGAGGCCCACAGATAGATCTCATCTGTAAGAAACTACAGCTGTACCAGAACTTCTGATTTTCAAGAGCATTTTCATTTATGCCATCTGGGGCAAAATCAACACTGCTGCCTCTTAGTCTCAGAAACCAGTTATTAAACATTCCCAAGCTGAAGCTAGCTACAATGGGCGACTTATTAGGAGCAGTGAGATACAACAGTTCAGGAGCTGTGTGACGTGAACAACTGTCCCACCCTTGAGGTGTATGACTCCACTCTATGGTGATGACAGGCAAAGGTAGTCGGGCACACAGAATGGTCACTCACCTAGACCTAAGGAAGCAGCATACTGCTGGCTGAGCAGGGAGCTGGCTGCCAGCTGGCCATACGGTGGCATCCCTCTGAAGGGGCTGTAAGGCACATGCGGCTGGAAGGGCGAGGCGGAGGCAGAGCCCAGGGAGGACTGAACAATGAGACACACAGGTAAGAGCACTGCAACATCCTTCAAGTTACCCTTCAAGTAAGTCTCCACATACAGCACTTTCTTAGATGGGGGAGGATGCCAGGTCTGTCAGCCTGAACTCCTGACAGGGTAGGTAGTTCTGGACATGAACTTCTTCAAAAACTTAAAATCCTCTCACAGCTCCCCTCTGCCAACACCAGTCGGGCCTTTTCATGTGACGAAATGCCACCCTTAGTTGAAGAAAGGCTCCCTTGAAGAGAAGTGGGGCATATGTGTCCATCCCCTTCTCTCCTCCCTTTCCCTACCCAAGTATGCAGGATCATACCTGCTCAGTTGAAGACTGGCCTGTTCCCACTTTGACTTCCTTTTGGACCTTGAATACCTATCCACCAAGCTTTTCAGAAATCTACTTGGGCTGTTCCAAGTGCCATGGAAGTCATCCCTGCCTGCTCCTCCCTTTCTAAGTATAGCTTCATCTCAGAACCCAGAGCAGTCTGAACTGGAGAAGCCAAGAAAGGCACAAATTTACAGAAGGTAATAATCTAGATGCCCCTTCTCCTAATAATCCTGGGGTATAACCTACCAGGCAGTAAGGCTTAGTGTCCTACAACAATGGAATATAACAGCACAAGACTATTGAGACAGCAAACCAGCCCTCTCATCCCGAAAACATCTCAAGTCACTCACACTACTGCCACCCTGGGCTTGACTGCTCTGTCATCCCAGAACCAGGCAAGACCACCACCACCACCAGCAGCAGCAACACATCTTATGCAGCAAGCTACAGTCTCTTCCTACTGGCCTTGCCATACAGAACATACTACACAGTACAGTACAGTACATATGCTGTGTGAGTTAACACCTTCTTTCTCTAGGAACAGAAACTGTCTAGATGAAAACCAGGTCTGTGTTCATTAGAGGGCAACTCAAGTTGAACGCTCTGGACAAACCAGATGACAGACACCAAGTTCCATGTGGAAACCAAGCTCTCCTATTAACCACACCCACACACTTACCTGAACAATAGCAGGATCCTGAGGGAGTGTGTGCTGAGCTTTTGGAGGTTCACACACAGTAATATCTTTGATATCACTTCCCCGGAAAATGATGTACTCATAAATTTCCTCTCTTGGGGGAGCAGGCCTATCTGTGGGACGGTCTTCAGTACCAAAGGACCTCACTTGGGGGTTGAAAAAAAAGAAGGGTTAAATTGTAGTCCTGTGCCAAGTCCATCTGTTCAAGATTCTGACCCTGCAGCACCCTGACACAGCACCCTATTTACAACCAACAGCTACTCAATCTCCCAATCTTCAGCTGACAGTAGCTATAAGGCACCATGTGGCAACTCAAGAATGCAAGGGGCAGTGGTTCGGGAAGACGACACACGAGAAATGTCAGAATCGCAAGCCTCACAGCCCCCTTGCACATCTGCACAAGCACACCAATGTGCAGAGCTCTCTGCAGACAAGGATGGCTTTGCAGAGCCTCCCTCCTCACATCTGACTGCAGACCCAACCACCATGCCTGAACCCTCATCACAGGCTGCAGCTGTGGAGGTTTCTCCTAGGTAAGCACGAAGAAACTCAGTCCTTGCACACAAATCAGGCCTTGACTGTTGTAGAAACAAAGGGAAGGAGTCCCGGAACTCGGATCCCCAACACTAGCTTCCGTGTCCATGCGGAAATCCTGGACCCAAGGGACCCTCCACAGGATCGAGGAAGGCTAGCACACACCTCTCTTTGGCAGGACTCCGGGGCTTATCTGAGTCTGGCGACAGGATTTAAGCAGCAGGATTTAAGTGGACAGGGGGCCTACTCTGGGCCTATTTCTCCAACTGGGAATCTCATGTCAAAAGCAACGCAGCACGGAGAGTTCAAGTGCATAAAAAAAAACAAAACCTCAACACTGAGCTCTCTCTCAACTGCAGCACCGCAGTCTGGGTCCCGGAGCCAGCCTTCAAAGGAAGGTACTGCTAAGGTTTGGAAGAAAGGCCCAGGACTGCAGCACGCTGGCTTCAGACTCCCCCCTGGGATCTGCACACCCTCGAGCGTCTAACACACACCCGGGGCGGGCCGCCGCGCTCGCGCTCCTGAGGAGCTGCGAGAAAACGAGCGGAGAATGGAGACAAAGAGGCTCCGGGGCCTCACGCTCGCCGGGACTAGCGCGCACCGACGCTGGACTCCTCTCAGGGCAAACCAACCCCTCAGAGGAGTCGACAGGGTCGGAAGAGTTCGGGGCGC